TAATTAAATTATATACGGATTTATTATAATTTTAGGCAAGAGAATTTGCGAGTATACTTTTTCAACGTAACGTTTGTGTGCAAAATTTATCGAATTAAAAGTTTTCCTTTTTGAAAATATTGACTAGATAAATTGCTTTAAAAGTATTTATTTAACCTGCAACTAATTTGTGTAAAGTTTTGGATGGTGGAAAATTGGCAATTTTACAATCGGTCTAATCAAACTATATGCGATTTATGCATTATCTATGAGGCTCAACGCGGAAGCGCAGCGATTTCATCCAAATTTCAAAGCGCTCGAATAATCCAAAGGTTGTAAGCTAACTGGTCCCTGCCAGACTCGAATTATATTTTTCAGTTTTTGTTACTCTTTCAAGTATATTTTTTTCATTTTCATTTTTAGTATATTTGGGAGCTAATTTTTGTCATTTTATATTGCAAAGTGCAGATTCGCCTTGTACTGTTGCGCAGATAACTGATCGGAACTTTGTCTACTACTTTCGCTGGAACCGACTTCTTGCTTGGCGTTAATATTCGGTTTGCAGGGGCTTATTATCTTCAGCGCTACTATTAAAAATGTTTATGCTTTACTGGTTAACGGAGAATATTCTATCCGTGGAGAGATTACCTGACCGCATTATATGTGCTAAGGTGATAATTGAAAGCAAAATTTACAACTTTGTTTCTGCATATGCTCCCCAGCAGGGCCGCCTTGATATAGAGAAAGATTTGTTTTATATGGCGCTTTGCGACTTTCTATTTAAATTGCCAAATAAAGAAGAGGTGGTCATTGCTGGCGACATGAACGGACACTGTGGTTCGGACCAAATAAACTACGAATCAGTTCTTGGCAGGTATGGAGTGGGAGGAAGAAACCCTGAGGGTATCAGAGTAAATACATTCTTCAGGAAAAGGGAACAACAGCATTGGACCTATGCCAGTGGCGATAGACGCAGTCAGCTGGATCTGTTCCTATGCAATCGAAATGTTCGGCGTAATATCACGAATTTCACGACTTTCCCAGGAGAATGTATAGCACCGCAACATAAACTATGCTGTGCATATTTCAAAGTTAGATGTTCTAAGACAAAGAAAGCGAAAGGCCAGATAACCACGATTAAATCGCATAAATTGAAGGATGCAGTGCATCAAAGCCAGTTAAATGAGAAGTTGAGTGAAAAATTGTCACCAAATATTTCCTGGAAAGAATTACAACACGCAATTGTAGATTCAGCTAGGACAGTTTGTGGAGTGAAAAGCAACAAGAAACAATTCAATCATGACAATTGGTGGTGGGACGAAGCTATGAGGGAGACACTGAAAGCAAAGCGGGAAGCCTATAAAAAGTTCAAGGCCAGTGACACAACTGCAAACAAACTCGTATACGCCGAGTTGAAAAAGAAGGCCAAACGAGAAGTTTCTAGAGCTAAAGCTAACGCATGTCAAAGGTGGTGCGCAGACTTAAATAGCAAAAAAGGTCGTGAGAAAATGTTCCGACTGGCTAGATGCACAGCTACCGAAAGTCATGATGTTCGGGGAGGTAAATTCATTAAGAACGAAAGTGGCATACTCCTCACTGACGGGACTGATGTCCTCGAAAGATGGCGCGAGTATTTTGACTCGCTCTCTTCCAAACCAGCCATCGGTTCTATGATGGACTCTCTTCCCATCCATGGGCCTATCAGGGAAATTACCGAAACTGAAGTTGGCAAGGCAGTTATGCATTCATCTGACGGTAAAACACCCGGACCATCGTCCATAACGGCTGAAATGCTGAAAGCCTTGGACGCATCCAATTTCTCTGTCTTGACAAGCGTTCTACAAAGTGTCATTGACTCGGGGAAAATCCCGGATGAGTGGTGTACGAGTGATACCGTGACCATCTACAAAGGAAAAGGGGACCCCTTGCTATGTGGATCGTACAGGGGGATTCGCCTATTAGAGCACCCTATGAAGGTTTTTGAGCGTGTCATCGAATCACGCCTTCGCGGCATTGTATCGATAAATGACAGACAAAGAGGCTTTATGCCTAACCGAAGCGCAACCGATGCTATTCATCTGCTCCGTAGGTTGCAGGAAAAGTTCTTAGCAAAGAAACAAAAGCTTTATCATGTCTTTGTAGACTTAGAAAAAGCCTTCGATAAAGTACCAAGATATTTGATCGAGTGGTCTCTTAGGAGACAATACGTCCCTGAGAATCTAGTCAAAACGGTCATGTCGTTATACAGAAACTCGGTCTCCTGTATGAGGCGAGGAAATCAAAGGTCAAACCAATTCCAGGTCAACACTGGTGTGCACCAGGGCTCTGTCTTGAGTCCACTGCTCTTCATTCTGATAATTGAAGAACTCACCAAGGAATGTGGTGACGGAATTCCATGGGAAATTCTGTTTGCAGACGACTTGGTGCTGACAAGTGAGACCTTCGAGGGCGTGTTGCAAAAGTTTGCAAAGTGGAGAACAATTTTTGAATCAAATGGCATGAAAGTTAACATGGACAAAACGAAGTTAATGGTTACCGGGGAAGAGGGAAAGACCATAAAGTCGGGTGATTACCCTTGTGGGGTTTGCAGCAAAGGGGTCGGTAGTAATTCTATGATGTGTACTTCATGTAGGCTATGGGTACACAGAAGGTGCAGTGGCTTGTGGGCAAGCCAACGCCTCTCTGAAACCTTTGTTTGCAAAGTTTGCCAGAATCCCAAATCCAAGGCAACAGATAGTAAAATCACACTTGCAGATGGTGAAATTGAAAAGGTGGGTCAGTTCAAATATCTGGGGGACATGCTTCATCCGGATGGGAAGGTGGAAACTGCTGTGCGAGCCCGCATAAATTCCTTCTGGTTGAAGTTTAGAGAACTATCCAGACTCTTATTGGATAAGAATCTTCCACTTGTTCCGCGGGTTTTGATCTACAAGAGCTGTCTGCGTCCAGTGTTGTTATATGGAGCTGAAACTTGGTCAATGACAGACTCAAATTTTAAAATATTGAGATCAACGGAACTTAAAGTACTGCGATGGGTAATTGGTACTGACCTACATATGATCGCTTCTCGTTCTATTTATGAGCGTTGCGGTATTGACCATCTAGACATTTATTTGAGGAGGTCCCGTCTTCGGTGGTTCGGGCACACTCAGAGGAGCGTGCTCCTTGCAAATGCGCTAACAAACGTTTGTGTCCCCGGACCCAGATCAAAGGGTAGGCCGAAGAAGACATGGGACAAAACAATAGAGGAAGACCTATCCTTGCTGGGACTGAAAAAGGAGGAAGCCATGGACAGGGATTTGTGGAAAGCATTGTTGTCTAACCCCGTGTAGCACGGGAAAAAGACACAAAACGTTGATGATGATGATGATGAGGTTGTAGAATTAAGGTCATTTATTTAGTTTTTTCGTTCACGTGTAGGTTGTAGATTGAAGGTCATTTAATTAGTTTTTTTGTTCATGGTAAATTAGTGGTAAGATTTTTTGAGATTTTAAGATATAGATGCTATGAGTTGACTGATTAATTATTTTATTAGACAAAAGTACTCTTCGCAATAATTCTCTATCTACCTCAAACTATGCTGAAACCTACTTAGACTCGTTGCTCTATTGGATTCCTATTCTGACAAAGACTCAACCATGGAGCAGGAACTAGCGAACTGTCATGCGGTGTATGACATAGCAACATGCAAGAAGAGAAGAGTTTGCGTCACAATCAAGAAGTACAGTGTGGACAAGCCAACCTGCATTCAGATTCGACTCTTCACTGCAAAGGAGAACGAAGTCTTGAAGCAAGTTGCCTATGACAACTATACTTTGAACGAATTCAAAGGACTCGCCCAAGTCTTGGGAGACTATGTTTGTTGAGAACAGCAAAGTTCAATAGTTTTGTTGAGTGATGTTATTATAGTCGTGTAATTCAAATATTCATCTTCTTGAATCATTTTTTAAAATTTCTTCGAGCTGAACAGTATGAGTTGAAACAATGATTTTTCCAGAAATCTTGTTTGAAAGCTTCAAAATAAATTGGTACTTCTTATTATCATCTTACAAAAAAAGTACCAGAAACTTTTGCTAACAGTTTTTGAATCTCAAAATTTACCAAACTTGCAAGATTTGGGTACAGAATCAAAATCTCTCAATTTGAGTGGAGTGGACTTTGCACGATGGAAGACGTAAAGTTTTTTCAAGTTATCGTTCAGATATTAAAAAAAAAACAGATCTTATAGAGTAACGTAGAAAAAACACATATCCACCAGCAGAAGCTTTGCTTTCCTTATTTACAGGGTAACCATAGTTTTTGGAAGTGCCCAAAAGCCAGAAAGTCACAAAACCAATCGTGAAAGCACTCACAACGTGCTTTTACGTGGAGCAGAGAAAGTATTCCCACCAAGGGAGGATAACAAAGACTATTCGTCATTAAGAGAGGCAATGCGCAAAAATATGTCCACTCACGCATTTTTCAGTGATGCCATTACTGGGGAGTCAACTAAAGGTCTCTTGCCTATCGCATCACTTGCCGTTTCTTGATTCGAAGAAAAAACGACCTTGTCCTTGGCGATAGTGTTTCTACGCACTCGTTGGTATCTGCCATTTTTGTAAAGCGGCTCAATTTGATTGGTACTCCCGTTAGTCTCAACACAATTGGGTATAATTCTAAAAGGGTGATGAAAACTCATCAAGTGAGGTTCGAAGTTAGTAGTAGTTGGAGGTTAAGAGGGGGCCCTGAGAGACCCCCATGTTTTAAGATTAGGAATAGAGTATCCGGTCTCCCAGCTATGT